CAGATTATTTAAACTTTACCATATTTTATAATGTTTTGAGATAGTAGCCAAACATGAAGTGCTTTTTTTGTGATTTATCTAACTGGAGATAATGAGAAATCAACTTTAGTGTGAGCCATCAGCACTAATATCATTTTATTTTCATTATCCCCATTTCTGTCACATAGTAATGTTATATTAGGGACTAGTATAAATCAACATAGCTTTGCATTTATGGATTTTTTAGAAAGAAAAAGAAGAAAATAATCTTTAAAGGAAGAAAAGTGTTTGTGGAGGTGATATACCAAAAAAAAGTGTTATTATTTTAGGTAAGAAGTAAATTATTTCGTCCTTCTTGTATTTTTTCCTTCTTTCTTTCCTTTCTTTCTTTTTTATTTTATTTTTTATCCTTCTTCCTTCATTATTTCTTAAAATTTTCATCCTGATGCTTTGGCACAATGTGGAACATATGACCTCTATTACTTAATAATTTCTCCTTATCCTTACAAGTCAGTCTATGTTTTCTCCTCTTTCTGTTTTCAATAGAAAGTAAGATAGTGTTAAAAGTTACTGGTCCTAGGATAAATATTATTATTCAGCAAACTTCGAGGAAAAGGTTATATGTTTTGCTATATAGAATTAGCAATATTACCTTTAATTTCCCCCTCGAAAACAATATGCCAGTGTATCTCCTTCCCCACTCAGAAATAGCATCTGTTCAAAACTTATGTAAAACAGGAAGCTGCACATGAGAGTTGGGTATTAAGAGTTTTGAGAATCACATAAAGGCAAGAGCTTAGCAGAATAGGGAAGGGACTTAAAGAAGAGCGGAGGGAGATGAATCTTCTGCCAGAATAAGAAAAACACATAAAATGCAATCTCTGATTTTGATTCTGAAACTCAAATGTGTCTTCCCTGGCATAGAACCAGAGAGGAATGAAGCAAGCTGCACTTTCTGTTTGGCACAAGTCTCAAAATGTGCCTCCAAAAAACCAGATTTTTGGCACAGTGAGACCCCAAACATCCAAATGAATGGCTGACTTTTTCTCTTTTTACATGAACTGAGTAATGGCATCCCAGCTTCTATGTATGTGAAGCAGCCTATTCATGTGCATCATGTTTCAATCCCCAGGATTATCAATCCCCTATTTTTTTGATCATACACCAATAGTTTCCAATGTTTGTTGATATGGGGTGTGTGTGTGTGTCCAGTGTCTTGGCCTGAGAAATCACATGATGAAATATGTAACATCTTATGTTGTCAAACTGGGAAATCATGTCAGAGAATGATGGGAGACCTACCAACAGAACATACTTTGAAGGAGTTTCTGTTAGACAACTCTGAAAACATTTGAACATAAAAACTGATTATAAACCTTTATAACTTTCTGAATAAAATGGAAATCTATAAGGGAAGAATGAAAGTAAAACTTTTCTTACAATGGAATGTCCTTTAACATAAAAACATGGACAGATTTAGAAAATACCACTTGAAAACCATAAAGGTATCATTTATTCAGACAAAACTAATCAATGCATGTTAAAATCATTTGATAAGATATTTATTACAGAAAGGACAATTTTATAGTTGTAAAACCAAGGCAAATACCACCTCAAGTGACCAAAGTTAAGACCGTCAACAATGGGATAAATTTATACTGTTACATGCTGACATGAAATACTAAGGATAATCAATATGACTCATAAACAAGAGGGAATATTAGATAAATCTAAATTGAGGTACATTTCACAAAATAATCACCGTGAGATCTTAAAAACATTGTGAGGTCATGAAAGGCAAAAGAGGGACAATTTGCTCCAAATTAAAGATGATTAAAAATTCATGACATCTAAACATCATACTTAATCTTGGCCAGACAGTTTTTTTTTTTGCTTTGAAATACATTATTAAATTCTGATAAATTTAAATAATAAATATACTTTCCTCAGCTCTTGACCTCCTTACCTCTAGTCTTGATGTAGACATGAGTTACTCAAGTGAAGCACAAAATATATCATCCACCTATTCAAACTATCAGTGACAAGTTACTAAGGTAAAATTCAAACTTCTTATTATAATCATGGTAACTTATTATTCCAAACTGGGATACTTATGAGAGTGAATACACATTTTAAACATTCACCCCTAAATAACAGGCATGCTGCTGCTGCTGCTAAGTCACTTCAGTCGTGTCCGACTCTGTGCGACCCCATAGATGGCAGCCCACCAGGCTCCTCCGTTCTTGGGGTTTTCCAGGCAAGAGTACTGGAGTGGAGTGCCATTGCCTTCTCCAAATAACAGGCATAAAATTGGGTATATGATCACCTTAATTGCAAAATCTCATATAGCCCCCATTAATTCTCTGGTCTTCTCCTATTGTGTCTCCCTAACTGCACTGTTGCAGTTACTTTGGCCTTTATGACCCTATGAACAAGCTGATAAGTCCTCCACCAGAGTCTGCCAACATTGCTTAGCCCTGCCTGGAAGGCTCTTGCCACAGCTTTTCTCACAGTGAACTCTTCCTTGAAGTCTGTGCAGCAAAGTCACTTTCTCAGTGATGCCTTCTCTGGCTGTCTTACGTAAAATTTCAATATCCCATCTCTAAAATTTCATATCTCTCTTTTCTGCCTTATTTTAGTCATTTTCTTATAATTTATCAATATATTATAGAATATGTACTTTAATGATTTATCTTCATTGCTATCTGAATTCCATATGAGAACATAAGTTTAAAAAGGGCAAGTCTTTTTGTTTGTTGGATACAGTATATATCCATATCTCTTACAATAATGCCTAGTACTTGATAGGCAATCAATAAATATTCCTTGAAAGAACTAAAGACTGTGTTTTATCATTGCAGTGAAAAATACTAAATTTACTGAATGTTTAAGAAAAATAAAGTCATGAATTATTTGAAGAGTCAACCTAGATCTTTACTATAATACATATGTTTATTCATGGCAATAAAAAGAAATTGAGCATTTGTTATATTAAAATAATAACATATATTTATATCAGAGTCATAATAATAAAATATAAATAGTTCTGAGCAACATATAGTTATTCTTCACCCTCAGATTGGGTTGAATGGGTGTTATTTTATTGTTTTGCTTGCATCCCACTGATTAATTGTTAAGTAGAATATTATTTTTTCATGTTTTTTGGGAACATTTTTTTCCTTTTCTGAATTGTGTCTTTTAAGTCCTTTTTGTTTGGCTTTTAGTAATGTATTTACTTTCTATAAAATCATAAGCTTATTCATTGTGGTTTCTATTAAATACAACATTTTATATTATTCTGCCATAAAGAATATGCAAAAGCATCTTATAAAGTTTAGGGACTAGAAAAATGTTTAAAGGATTCATATGTACGCTTACTTTCCTAAATGTGGATTTGAAGTCAGCAACCTGGGTTTAAATTCCAGAACTGTACTGTATTCTTGTATGATTATTAGACCAGTGCATAAAATCTTCAAGCTTCAGGGTCTCTTTCCATGGTTATTATAAAATGGAATGAAATAATGAATTCTAAGCACTTAGTGTTACATTGTTTTTTTATTAACTACATAGTAAGTTTTCTCCTTTTAAGGTACTCTCCTATTATTAGGTTTTATCTTTATTGGTTATCATCTTTGTTGAATAATTTCCATATACATACATATTTGCAATGATAGAGTATATTTAATTTTATATCATGTGTTTTGCTTAATAGCATATCATCAATAAGCTTAATGTAACAACATAATATGCATAATTTTAATTTTAATTAAATGCATATTATTCCATCTAGTGATGGTATCATAACTTATTCAAATATTAGACTAGTATTAGGCAGTTAATTAAAGTGCTTTTCAAGTTATAAATCAGGGCGTAGTGAGAGGCATAATCATAAACTCATGATAGGTGTACAAATATGATCATAAAGCCTTTTAGGAAAGAAAGTTTGGAATGAGACCCAAACTTGAAACATATTCATTCTCATTGACTCAGCAATTCCATTTCTGGGACTCTGTCCTAAAGAAATTATCAGAAATGAAGACAGTGATTTATGCACAAAGATTTTTACCATGTCATTATTTATGGCAGCAAACAGTTGGAAGCAACCCAAATGTCCTGCAATGAATGATTACCCATTTCTTAGTGCAGACATAAGAATAAAGAATAAGCAGCTCTTTTAAAATATACTTGGAAGAGTTTTAAAATAGGGAAAATTCTCAATATAAAACAACAGATTTTTTTTTTTTTTTTTTTTTTTGAATTGAATTTTTTATTAGAAAAAATGCCCTATTTTATAGATCACCATTTATGAGAATCCTACCAAAGCACTACAACAAACTGGCCTTGAAGAGAAACACCACAATGACAGAAAACTCAAAATACTGTATCTTTGAGGAGCCTGCAACCAGGCTAATTGAAAATCAACACACAACTCCCACCACACCACACACAAGTATGAACAGGTTATATAAGTAAGCCAAGATTTAGAAAACACAGTGGAAGAGGAGGAACACACCCACACATGTATCTGTGTGCATGTTTTCCTTAAAAACATGTAACAGGGTTTCCTTCATTTTACTCAACTCAAAGAAATTCTTGATCTAAAATTATTCCATGTCTAACATTATACAAAAGAAATATCATAAAGCAAAAGTTTACATTTTCCTGGGAACTGTCCGTTGCAAGTAAGAAAATGTTACTTGAATTTTTTAGTGTAAAATCCACATAAAAACAGGAGTTGTAATACAGTGCTTGCCATTTAAGTATAACATTGCCAAAATGCTTTATACGGGACTATTTTACATTACAGAAGAGGAATATCAATGCAGAGGTAATCAGTGCTTCCAAACTTTTATAATTCTTCTACAGGGGAGATCTAAATGGTCAAATGTATTTCGATTTAAAAGGAGCTGTTTTCTCGCCTCTGGTAAGGTGCTGACTGATGAACAAAGACAAGCGCACAGTCAGACTGCGTTCTGCTCAGCAGCCGCCACCTTCCAGGAGTCCTGACACTCACGGGCTCTTTACTGGACCCTACAGTTCTCACCGCCCCTGGACTCCAGGCTGGCTTCTGGGCTGGGGGCGTGGCGGCCTCGCTTGGCTCTTAGGCCCTCCCTGGGGCTGCCCGCTGGACTTCTCTCGGGAAGATTACTGATGGAGAGAGATCTGGCAGTGGGATCTCGGAAGGGAGCACCTGAATCCACTGGGCTCTGTTGAGAAAGCTTGACCTTTTGTGATCTGCTGCCACCAGCTGTTGGTTTGGAGGTCTCGGTGAGATTTTCTTTGTCGAGACTTGGCGGGGATGTTGCTAACTTCTGGGCAGCAAGGCGGGGGCTGGTCCTGGTTGCCATGGTTGTCCGCCGCAGGATGTACGGGCTCATCTTTCCGGTCGGGATGTCGGCAAACCCTTTCTTTACAACTTCTGGAAGCCCCTCTGGCTCAAATTCAGCATCTTCTGCATCCTCTGCAGGGTGAATACCACTTTTGATGGCTTTCCTGCTTTTTTTAGAAAATGTCTCTGGTGTAGAAGGCGTGGTTTCTCCCCCATCCTCCCGAATCCCACTGGACCTTTGCCTTTTGCCTGAAGATTTATTTTGGCCAGATGGTAACTTCTTTTCAGTGGCAGAAGGGACTGGGGATGGTCCTGGAGCAACTGAATTCACCAAAGGAGAACTTCGAAGATTAAGTTTAGATTGTTGTGAACTCAGACGAGCAACTTGTGTTTCTAACATCTCTTTGGCTTTCTCTAACTTCTCATGGCTTATAAGCAGGGAACAGTATTTATCCAGGTATTCGTCTGCCTCCTTGGTTTTTTCTTCAAGGGTTTCTTTCAGTTCTTTCATTTCGGTTATTAATTCATCGACAACGGAAGAATTAAATTTAATGTTGGAAGAAATAAAGAGCAGCAAAGGTCAACTGAAGGAGCTCATGCTAGAAAACAGTCAATTGAAGAAGAGTTTGGATTGTGTACACAAAGACCAGATGGAAGAGCAAGAGAAAATGAGAGGAGAAATAGCTGAATATCAGCTACGGCTTCAGGAAGCTGAAAACAAACATCAGGCTTTGCTTCTGGATACAAACAAACAGCATGAAATGGAAATCCAGACATATCGAGAGAAACTGACTTCTAAGGAGGAATGTCTCAGCTCACAGAAGGTGGAGATAGACCTCTTAAAGTCCAGTAAAGAAGAACTCAATAATTCTTTGAAAGCGACCACTGAGCTTTTAGAAGAATTGAAGAAAACCGAGATGGAAAATCTAAAACATGCAGATAAAACAACAGATTTTATATGTATAAACTTTTAACATGTACATAAGCAGGAAAATGCTTGCAGTGTTATCTCTGAGTAGAGAAATCATAGGTGATTTAAAAATTTTTATCAATTTACCATATCTTCTACAATGAGCAGGCATTACTTTAAAGCTAATTTTTTTAAAGAAAGTAAAGCTACTGTTAAATTACTGATAGTGACATCTATGTTGAGGTGAGGAATTCTGAAGGATTTGGTATGCTGTGTGTTATAGTTCAACACTGATGGCCTGACACCTTTGTTGGCAAGCATGATAATGTATCCCAAAGGCAATGTCAAGCTTTAACCAACCATTTTCAGCTTTTCTCTGCTCTGTGGAAATTCTCCACATTGCAGTGCTCTAAAAGGAGAATAAAGTTAAAGTGTTAATAGCAGCAGGTTCATCTACAGTCCAATTACTTGGAAAGTAAATGTACCAAATCTAGTTAGTGATACTGTTTAATATTTAATCCTCTGACACGAAAGCACGAACACTAAAGTTCTATAGTAAACCCTAGAAGCATGAAAATAAAGTATAAAGGTAGCAGGTCTTAATATTTCTACAGAAGAGCAAAACTCCATATAAAAAAATTACCCTGCACATGTGCTGTTACAACAGGAGACATGAAAACTGATTCAGTTCTCATTTTTTCCTTCTGTCCAAAATAATTAAAACTATACTAGGTCTGTCACAATCTTTGCAACTGTCTTCTCAAATTTTGTAATGACTGACAGCCCATTTAAAAATGAACATTATTTAATAAGGTCACATAGTTTTGAATTTGAACTTTTAAAAATATAGTAGGGAGATGATTTAGACTCATTATTATAGGAATCATTATTTCCTATTTCTCCTGACTCCTCTTAGATAGAGAAACCGAGACCTCCAAAATGCAAGCTCACTCTCATCAAGACTTAAACCAGTTCTCATCTAGGAAGCAGAAGGTAGGAAGCCTTATCCTTACCAATGGTAGAATTTGGAACCATCCATTTTATTCTTATTATAATATTTGGGTATAGAGGGTGAATCTACCAATGAATAGCAAGTACACTCAATTGCAGAGTAGTTTACAGAAATGCCACATTTGCTTATTTGCCATAATTAGATCCAAGCTGCCGCATACAGGATTATTCTAATATGTATACATAGAACAACTAAAGAACTCTTAAAATAGTGGTTTGAAGTACTCTTAACTTGAAATATTAATGTAAATAAATTATATTTTATTTTGTTATTTATTTACTTTTGTTTCACTGTAAACTTCCAAAATACACTAATTTTAGGCAAACTGAATGTTTCCTAAACATGAAGAAAATTGGATTTAGACCTAATGCCTATAGGAAAGTATCTTTGTGACTCCTATTTCTACCCTGGAGTTTATCTGTGCTAAGATATTATAGTAAGGGATAACAAAAAGGTAAGAGAGTTTGAATGTTGCTTAACCATTTATTAACTGTAAAAGGCTATTGTTAGTGTTAGTCGCTCAGTCATGTCTGACTCTTGGCGACCCCATGGGACTATGGTCCACCAGGCTCCTCTGTCCATGGGATGCTCCAGGCAAAATACTGGAGTGGGTTGCCATTCCCCTTCTCTAGATCTTCCTGACCCAGTGATCGAGCCTGGGTCTCCTGTACTGAAGGCAGATTCTTTACCATCTTAAATATCACTGAACTGTTTATTCACTGTAAAGGCTAGTTCAGTTTAGTTCAGTCACTCAGTCATGTCTGACTCTTTGCGACTCCATGGACTGCAGCACGCCAGGCTTTCCTGTGCATCACCAACTCCCAGAGCCCGCTCAAACTCATGTCCATCAAGTCAGTGATGCCATCCAATCAGCTCATCCTCTGTTGTCCCCTTTTTCTCCTTCCTTCAAACTTTCCCAGCATCAGGATCTTTTTCAGTGAGTCAGTTCAGGCTAGAGAGTTTATTAAATCTTTGAGTCTGTTTCTTCATCAGTAAAGTACATATGCTTTCTTCTGCCACATAGGATTTCTAGAAGGATTGAAATAGGTACCATATAATGAACTAGTTTGTAACACACAAAATTATTATGCCCAAATACTGTGATATACTAAATTTGAGGAAGGTGTTAAGCCAGGGTCATAAATATCTCTGACTGTTTCACCTCCACCATTAATTTAGTCATTACAGGAAGATTTAGTGTCAGAAAGTTTGCACTGCATCCTAAATTTGTGTTTTCTTCACAGAAATTCCATGTGAAGATGGTGTTAGTAGTAAGTGTACCTCTTAAAATATTATAGATAAATTATAAATGTTAACGAAAAAGTAAAATTGAAAAGGGCACATTGTGCAACTTTCACTGTTCTCAGAACCAAAGTTACTTGACTCTTCAATAGAAGCAGAGTTGAAATCTGGGATTTGTGATGGAATGCACATACATGCAAGTTGCCTAGACCATGAAATCCATGATTTGCTAGAATTTTATCCATTTCTGCAAAAAACATAAGTTCCTTTACACAACTTGTCTTTTTTGCCATTAGAATCTCAGCCTACCTTTGTGACTAATACAGAATCAGTACCACCCATTGCTATTTCACCCACACACCTTAAAAACTAAAAACACATTTTCCTCATAACCCTTCCTCTGGGCCCACATCTCTGCTCTTAAAGAATGAGGGGAAATCCTTGACAGACTCCTGGACATTTCTGCTCCCTTTGCAATTCCTTTTCCCAACTTCCCACTTCTCAATAACTTGCTCATTGATTCAGGGAACTCCAGCAGCATTTCATCTAGTAAACTGTCCCTGATATACTGGTCTAAATTAAAGTTTTCTTTGTGCCTTCTCTTACATCCCTTGAAAATTTCTACTCTTGAACTTAGCATGTTATTAAGTGAAAATAAATTAAGATTTAGTGCCTAGCCAAGAATAGGGGCTCAATGATTGTGCATTGAATAAATAAATAAAAAGGAGTCAAGCATGTAAATCCATGGCTGATTCATGTCAATGTATGACAAAAACCACTACAATATTGTAAAGTAATTAGCCTCCAACTAATAAACATAAATGAAAAAAAAAAGAAAACATAAAAAAATAAAAAAGGAGTCAAGGCTAATATAAGAGCTGAGTGTACTACTACCTTTTCTCATGGCTGAAATCTTATCGGTAACATAGCTTTCTTGGGATGTTCCCTGAAACTTAGTTAATACAAAAGGCCACTAAACTAGAGTTTTGCTACACAAATGAACACACAGTCATTCTAATATTTAGGTTTCACGTTATTTGAAATTTCTGAAATTTCTAGTCGGCTTTTATTTTTTTGAACTTTAAAGACCAGATTTATTTGGAGAAAACAAAAAACCCCGAAACCCAAAGGATGGGATTTTACATCTCAAGACATCTCCCGGGTAATAAGTCTACAGATTACAAATCATTTTCATGGAAGATATTTTTGTACAAATTTTACGTGTAATGAGGAGCGGGTCTTAAGCCCCTGTTTGTTTTAATAGGGTGGCAGAGCAGAGGAATGGGGGAAAACAGCTTTTTGTACACATCTATTTGGAAGGAGTAGCCATGAAGAGGGCAAACCCTACCTTTTCAACATCTATAGCAAATGGTTTAAAAAAATACCCTCTCAACCTTGGGTATCTCTAAAAGCCACTTCCTAGCTACTAGCCACTCCAAGCCAATTATTTAAAGTTATTTCACTTGGTATGTCCTTTGTCCGCTGGGTAAATGACTCATTTATGCTCACTGCTGCAGCACTCATAAACCAACACCCTGCAAGGTTGGACAGGGTCTAACCTAGGACTGATGGGAAAAAAGCTTGCAAATAAAAGAGACCAAGGTGTCTTTTCTCTGTAGGTACCAATACTGCCCATAAGGACACCATCTATTGAGCTGACAGTACCAAGGTGCACATAAAAGAAGGCAAGTAAAGCTATTGTGTTGCAAGAGAAGCAAGAACCTTGTTAAATTGTTCTGCATTATCATTCATTCTCGCAAAGAATGCTAAAAAATAAAAAGAACCGACCACCCCCCCCCACCCTGCAACATTGGTCTAGGTAGGCCACATTATAAACCCAAACATTTGTGTGGGATTTCAGTGCAGAGATGGAAACTTTTTTAAAAAGCACACCCCTCAACACCAATCAAGGTTGTAAGAAAGGTTTCCAATTTAATTTCCATTCACCCCAATGTGGGTGAGTGGCCACACTCACCACCTAAGACTGGTAATTCTGAAGTTTCCTGAGGTGCAAAAGGGGTCAAAGCAGCAGAAGCAGGAATGGCTGGAGGGAAGGAGTGAGACTCAAGACATGTAGGAGCCAAGAATTGCTTAAGAAAAGCAGTAGTGGTTCCTCATTAGACAGCTCCCAGGGAGCTCTAGAGGATGCCTAGGAGATGAAGAGTGTGACTGAAGTCCTAGTGGTCTGTGGGAAGGTAACAGGAAAGACTGGCAGGAGGAACCTAATTCAGACAAGAGTCTGAATTTTTAAAACTTCAAGATTTCAACAGAATGTGGATTTATTTGAACTTTCAGAAGGGATAGTGTTTAAGAAAGGGTGAAACCAGGACACATAAAGATTTGGGAATTCGCATGAACCCTAAGTGCTTCCTGCTCCAGGAAGTAAACCATTCATGTGTTTACTGGAGGTGATATACCATTTTCTCTATTACTGGTGCAAAATAATTCACCAAACCCCCAACCTTCTTTTCAAACCACGATTTCCCCATTTATTTTGGTCACCAAACAGTCCTATTCTTCAGTGACCTGTAGACTCACTTCCACCTACCCCCCTGGGGGGTACAAATGAAGGAACTCCCCATAGGCTGGCCTCAGTAACTCAGAACTAAATGAGAGGAGGGGTTAGCAGCCTCCTGGAGACTAAAACATCAGAGACTAAACCTACCTTGCTGAGGATGGAGAATTTATTCAGGTAATATTTGAGAATTCATGTATGCCACAACAGGATAGTAAGAATTAAAGGTAGGAATCTCACTCTTCCTTATATCTGTCTACTGTCCAACTAGATCCCAGACACTGCATCACCATCACTGCATTTTGCTAAACAGAGGCCCCTAGGCACGAATCACACAGGCAATTGCATGTGTCATAAAAACACACCACAACTTTTCCATTAAAAGCTGTACGTATCTTTCTCTGGCTACACTGGTGATTCTCCTGTTAGTTCAATACTATAAAGGCTGCAGCAGCATGCAAAAGAATTTCATTTTGTGTTTTTTTTTTTTTAAATGTTAAGAAAGGTCTCCAGGAGATGGTGAGTTTTATTTTGTCTTGTCTGGATAGAGGTTTGATTTGCTCTTGAATGTTCCAGGGTAGAGAGACTAGACAGAATGCAGAGGTCTATTCGGTGTAACCTCCCTCATTTTCATCTTCACCATCAATGGCAAGAGCAGCATATTTGCTTGCAGAACTGAACTTCGAGGCTGGATTTTCTTCAGCTTTCTTTGGCTCAGGTGCAGAGCTGGAGTCATGATCCTTTTGCCATCTTTCCTGTCTGACTCCCTCCAGTGGTCTTTGTTCCCTCCGTCTCCCAGACCATGGCTGGAGTTCCCACTTTGGCCTTTTGGGGCACTTACCCCATCTACTTTATTTTCATCTTTGCTTGCCCATCCCTCCTCAGGTGGTTGAGCTGGAATTACTTTCCCTCCACCACTTGGAGGGGACTGCTGCTCTGTGTCTGAGCTCTGAGATCGAGCAGGAGGGTTAGAACTTCGCTTCACCCAAGCATTCTCCTTTGGTGGAGGGGCTGTTCAGGTTTGGGGAGGCTTAGAAGTTGGAGACTGACAGTCTTCCTCTTTATTGCGGGTTTCATTTTCTGAAGACTTCTCACACTCTCTTCTTCGTGCATCCTGGTCTGACTGACTTCTGCCAGATGTGGGTGAGGTCCCAGTCTGTGATGACACTTCCTGTCCTCGATCGTTCCGTTCCTGAGTTTCTTCACTTCGCCAGCTTGGGTGTCCCTCCGGGGGCCGTCCTTCTAGTTTTGGCTCCTCCGGCTGACGCCGCAGTTTCTCTTGCTCCTTCTGTAGCCGCCCTTCTACTTCTCGCTCTCTAGCAGCTGTGTCACCAGGCTTTGCCCCTCCAAAGATAGAGGCTGGGAGGTGCGAGCGGAGGAAGCATCTTCCTTAGGAGTACTCCGAGGCTTTAGGTTCCAGTTTGGGCCTTTGGGGGGGACCTCTATCATCCCGCCTATAATCATCCTGAGAGTAATCATCTCTGGGGCTCCAGGACCGGTCATCTCGTCTGTCGTATCTGTCTTCCTAGCGGTCCCCGCCGCCCCCGTAGTCGTCATCCCTACGGTACCTGCTACCGAACGCTCTTCTGCCACTGCCTATCCTTGAATCATAGCCTCTGTCATAGTCTCTGCCACCTCGGTCATCATAGCGATCTCGGCCCCCTGTATCGATCCATGTCCCGGCGTGGGCCATCACGATAACTGTCCCGATACCCTTCACGGTATCAGTCTGAATCGTAACGATCTTGATACTTGTCTCCAAAGCTATCATCACCCCTTCTAGGCGGGTAGTCATCAAAGCTGTCTGCAGCAGGACGGGTCCTCTGTATTTGTTTTGTCAGAATCACAATTTCTATCTTGGCCAAAAGAACGATCATCCCTGTCTTTATCTTGTGCTTGATTAGCAATGTCCACTCGAATTCTCCTATTACCTAGAGACTCTTCGTTGAGGCTCAGGGCACTGAGCAAGGAATCCAGGCCCTCAAACTAGCATAACCAAAATCTTTTAACCTCTCAGGATTGCTGGGTTCACGCGGTAAACGCACCGCACTGATATTTAATCCTCTAAAGAATTCCTTAATGGAGTCTTCTGTCACATCATAGGGCAGGTTCCCTAGAAAGGCAGAGCAGGGTGGAGATTTGGGAAGACGGCTCTGGTCGATATTGGGTTCCCGTGCAGCCCGTGGAGCAGTGGGCAGGATGGAACGGTCAATTGGAGGTGCCCGATACACATCATCATCATTACTATGCCAACTGGTTGAAACATCCCCTTCCAGATCGTCTGTTTCATCAGCCCAGCTGACTGGTGTGGGGACATAGGTGCTGCCTCCACCAGTCCCTCCATCCTCAGCCAGAAAGTCTGTTAGGGAGATAGTCTTCCCCTTCTTGTTCTTCTTTTTCGCTGAGGCCGCCATGTTGGGAGAGGGGGAGAGAATGCAAAAGCTCTAGTCGGCTTTTTAAAAAAAGCTGGATAAAGAATTAGAATGGCAGTCAACACTTTCCCCACCCCCCACAAAATCTTAAGGAAGCAACACAGTTACAAAATTCATTTTATAAAATTCAGTGACTGAAAAGTTCTAAGAACAGGGACAAAATCCTCTTTTATTCTTAGTTCAAAGAATATTCTTTTACCAATGGGAAGTATATGAATATTTTGAAGCTAAGAATAAAGATATATTGTACTTTGTACATATAAGATGCATGTGTATCTCAGACTTGAAATTTAATATATTTACCATGTCACTTCAGATATTTAGCTATTAAATAAGTTAGCTAGGCAAGGTTCAGTTTTTATTACTTAATCACATAAATAATCTAAACAAAAATGTTTTAACATTTCATTAATTCATGTAATTTATGATTTATTGAAACAATTATGTCTTCAACTGTATAAAATTGTCCATTTCATGAATCAAGGTCAGAGGGTTCAAACAGAAACCCAACCTGAGGATCAGTTCTCTCCTATAATACTGCAATAAATACCTTTTGTTGACTGTATATCTGACATTTGCTTTCCCATTCTATGAATTACTTAACTTCATTGAACTTCAGTCATTCATCAATAAAATGAGAACAGTTCAGTTCAGTTCACTTGCTCAGTCATGTCTGACTCATGGCGACCCCATGGACTGCAGCACACCAGTCTTCCCTGTCCCTTACCAACTCCAGGAGCTTGCTCAAACTCATGTCCATCCAGTCGGTGATGCCATCCAACCATCTCATCCTCTGTCGTCTCCTTCACCTCCTGCCTCCAATCTTTCCCAGCATTGGGGTCTTTTCCAATGAGTCAGTTCTTTGCATCGAGAGGCCAATGTATTGGAGCTTCAACTTCAGCATTAGTCCTTCCAATGAATATTCAGGGCTGATTTCCTATAGGATTGACTGGTTTGATCTTGCAGTCCAAGGGACTCCTGAGTCCTTTTCAACACCACAGTTCAAAAGAATAAAAAAAAGACGAGAACAATAAAAATATATCTCAGCATTGGTATGAAGATTAAAATGAGAAAATATATCTGGCACATGAGAGAAGTCAAATAATCTTCCTTCAGGTTATCATGTAAATATGTTGGAATTGGCTCGGGGAAGAAAGTTAGCCTTCAGCAAGTTTGTCTGATTCATCACCCTGCTCTCTACAAAATTTGGGAAATTTTTGAGTGACCATCCGTGTCTGCATAGAATTGTGTAATTCTGCTCTTTAATGTTCATAGTGTCCCATCAGCTTTATTTAGGCATCTGCAGTATTTTTAGCTCAAAACTAAATTTAAGCAAATGTTACAGAGTGGACAATTGAATCATGTATCTAGATTGGGTCAGCAGTCTATAGCCCACAAGTCAAATCCAGCCTGCTCCCTATTTTGTAAATAAAGTTTTATTGTAACACAGCAGGCTCATTGTCTATGGCTGCTTTTATACATCAGTGGCAGAGTTGAATTGTTGCAAAGAGATCATCTGGCTAAATATCTTATATTTAGTTCTTTAAAGAAAATGTTTGCTGAGCCCTCATTTACAGAATTGAGGAAAACAAAGCTATAGTACAAATAAGAACAGCTTTATTTTATTGAAGGGGAAAATTTTGAATAGAGTTATGATTTGGAATATATATGCAGGAAACCCAAGAATAATTCAGTTTCTTTTCCATTTTTCTCAATGAAGTACAGTTGATTTACAGTGTTGTATTACTTGTTGATATACAACAACATGATTCAGTTATACACATATATACACTTTTAAATATTATTTTCCATTATGGTTTAATCACAGAAAATTAAATATAGTTCTCTGTGCTATACTTGGGACCTTATTGTTTACCCATTCTGTATATAAAAGCTTATATCTGCTAACCCCAATCTCTCCCTCCATCCTTCCCCCAATCCTCTTGACCTGGAAACCAACAGTCTGTTTTCTATGTCTGTGATTCTATTTCTGTTTCAGAGGTAGATTCATTTGTGTTATCTTTGAGATTCTACACATAAGTGATATCATATGGTATTTGTCTTTTGCTTCCTGATTTAATTCACTTATTATTATAATCTCTAGTTTCACCCATGTTATTGTCAATGGCATTATTTTTTATGGCTGAGTAGTACTCCACTGTAAAATTATACCATGTGTTTTTTATCCAAACATCTGTTGATGGACATTTAGGTTGTTTCTGTGGCTTAGTTATTGTGAATAGTGCTGCTATAAGCATAAGGGTGCATGTGTCTTTTTGAATTATAGATTTGTCTCAATATGTGCCCAGGAATGAGATCCCTGGATTGTATAGTAATTCTATTTTTATTTTTCTAAGGAACCTCTATGCTGTTTTCCACAGTGGCTGCCTCAACTTATATTCCTACCAACAATGTCAATACCCTTTCTAGCCTTTGTTATCTGTGGATGTTTTAATGATGGCCTTTCTGACTGGTGTGAGGTGGTACCTCATTGTGGTTTTGATTTGCATTTTTCTAATAATTATTGATGTGGAGCATATTTTCATGCATCTTTCTGTATTTCTTCTTTGAAGAAATGTCTATTTCTTCTGCCCATTTTTTTGGATAGGGCTTTTTGTGGTGGTGTTGAGTTGTATGAGTTGTTTGTATATTTTGAAAATCAAGCCATTGTCTGTTACATCATTTACAACCATTCTATAGATTGTCTTTTTGTTTTGTTCATGGTTTCTTTTCCTTGTAAGTTTGATTGGGTCACATTTTTTTAATTTATTTGCTTTTATTTCCATTGCCTTGGGAGACTGACCTTAGAAAACAATAGTAAAAATTTATGTCAGAGAATGTTTTGCCTATGTTTTCTACTAGGAGTTTTATGATGTCATGTCTTATGTTTAAGTCTTTAAGGCATGTTGAGTTTATTTTCATATATGGTGAGAGGGTATATTTTAACTTCATTGATTTACATGTGCCTGTCCAGCTTTCCCAACACCACCTGCTGAAGAGGACATTGTCTTGCCATTATATAACCTTGCCTCCTTTGTGGAAGATTAATTGACCATAGGTGTGTTGGTTTATTTCTGGACTCTATTCTGCTCCGTCAATTCACATGTATGTGTTTGTGCCAGTACCATGCTGTTTTGATTGCTGTAACTTTGTAGTGCTGTCTGAAGTCTAGGAGGGTTATGCCTCCTGCTTTGTTCTTTTTCTTCAGTGTTGTTTTGGCAATTCTGTGTCTCTTATGGTTCCATGTGAATTTTAGGATTATTTATTCTAACTCTGTGAAAAATTTGATAGGGATTACATTAAATCTGTATATTGCTTTGGGTAGAATGGCTATTTTAATAATATTAATTTTTCCAATCCAAGAGAATAGGATATATTTCCATTTATTTGAATCATCTTCAATATCCTTTATTAATGTTTCATAGTTCTCAGTGTATAAGTCTTTCACCTCCTTGGTCAGGTTTATTCCTAAGTATCTTATTTTGGACATTGTAATTTTAAAAGTTTAAAATTAAAAAAAAACATTCCCTTTCTGATATTTCATTGTTGGTATAAAGAAAGTGAAAGTGTTAGTCGCTCAGTCATGTCTGACTCTGCAACCCCATTGAGCATAGCCCACCAAACTCCTCTGTCCATGGAATTCTCCAGGCAAGAGTACTGGAGTGGGTAGCCATTACTTTCTCCAGGGGATCTTCCTGACCCAGGGACCAAACCTGGGTCTCCTGCATTGCAGGCAGATTCTTTACCATTGAGCTACCAGTTAGTATAAAGAAATGCAACAAATTTCCGTAATCTTGTATCCTGCTACCTTGCTGATAATTCAGTTTCTTGAAGCAAATTTTGAGACTGACTGTAGATTTCCACAGCAGTAAAATGTGACAGTTTCCTTGTGGATTACTCAGAGTACACATGATTGATTCAGTTTAAAGGATTTCATCTTTTGGGCAGTTAAAATTATTCAATGTGATCAAACTTGGTTGAAAAGCAGTATCTTCTCCACATGTTATTATAACCATATGATTGTCAAAAATCAATAAACTGGACAATAATAGTAATTTGTGGGTAAGAGTTCTAACACTGATGTTATAGGTTTGCAGTCAAACTGGTAGTTTATCATAAGACAGTCTTATTTAAGGGAATATTATTTAGTTCCCTATTCGCAATATAGATAGATAAATAGATAAAGTAACATATCACTACTTTTCATGCCTTGATTCCTCTTTCATTAGCTATACAAGGACTGGAACTGAAAAACTGAGCAATTATGACTGTCTAGTTTTAATATCTTTCATATTTAAGGCTCTCAGATAATGTTTTATGATGGCAATACATCAAATTTATTGTAGTTGTCCTATATGGCTAACTCAGGGTAGATTGTCTAATCCTGTCTATGGAAAAATCTCAAAGAGTATATACATCCTGAAATGTAATACAAAAGAGAACAAGAGAAAAAGAAAAATCCTATGTAATCCATCTGACAGAGGAATAGCAAATGTTAATATTTTTCTCTGAACAAGGTTAATATTCTCTGTGTTTGTATATCTTTTTCTCTTGTCATCTATTGTACAAACCACTGTAACTCTGTTTTTCTTTTTCAGCTACACTATATTGTACAAACCACTCTATCTCTGCTTTTTTTTTCAGCTAGACACTATATTGTCTATCAATACACTTAGACGACACTATTTTTAGTATTCCAACATAGAAGTATGTTGTACTTTATTTTTGAAACTTCCCATTACTGGTGCATAAATTCTATGGTGTTTTTTATTATTTGCAGGTATAAATGAAGCTCTGATATCTACCAAATGCTTTTTTCAACCACTTCTCTAACTTCTTTTGACAAATTCCTGAAGTAGCAATACTAGTTCAAAGTGTATTTATTTATTCATTTGCTAACTTACATGTGGTTTATAGGATAATTACCACTCAACTTTTCTCTGTTTGAATATTATAAATATATCAAAAAATCTGTTGTTATA